CATAGAAATAATGTATTCCCTTTAATAATAATCATTTCATACATGGATAGTTTCTGGTAGGTCATTATTCGTAGCACACTCTTAATTAATTGCAAATACCGCTAGCAATATTCCATGGTTCGTAAAGTTAGTCAGTAATTTAAGGACTAACTACAGGTAGGAGTGTAATGAAGAATACTATGCATGACCTATAAAAAATTGTGACTTTAGATATGGTGAATAATAGGCCATAAGGTTATTAGAACACTATTAGAATAAATAGGTGCAATAAAAGATTCATTAAAATTAAGGGGTGTTCAGAAAAAAAAAACCTAAAATAAAAGTTCAGTAAGAACTATTCTGAGCTTAAACTTCGCTTGTTTAAACTCACCGAGTTTTCATAGAACTCATTTTTCCATGTCTTTCTCTTTTGTAAGGGCATGTGCGTTAATAATGCTGATTTTTCTACATTTCTTGCTTAATCTTAAAGAGCACTGTCTTTCTGATACTGCTTGAAAGTCAGTTACTACTCGACTTATTCTCTCTGACAGCTTAAAACCTATCGCAACGTATTTATTTGGATCGCCGTTTTTAAAAAGAGTACTTCTTCCAACTTTCACTACTTCACTTCCCAGCTGTTTGGATTCTTGTAAGGCCAATATTTCGATTCTATATTTCTCACATCCAAATTTCTTAAAGCTCCTTTCTCGTAGGTCCCTATTACGTTCCATGTTCCCACTTTCAATTTGTTTGTTGTAACGACGTGCAACGCCTACGTTCCGTCAGCGCTTCGTACACACGCACTCCTATCACAAGTTCCTCTTCTATCGATGCGCGCTAGAGGAGATAAAGGCAGACGACCTTAAACAGCGTACGCCACAAGAACAAGAGAGAATGGAGTTCTGCTGGAATGCTGGTCTAGTGGGAACTCTGGGTGGACAGCCGTCCGGAGTTTCATCAGAGTGTTTTTCTGATAACAACTCCACTGGTCCTAGGATATTGACTGAGGGCTAATCGCTTCTGCGTGTTGATCTAGTCGCAGTTCTGTACCCGATATTGGAGCATCGATCTACATATTCCTTTTCGTGGCTCAGTGTTGATTAGTCACTTTCAGAGTCAGACAAAATCATCGTCTTTATCGGAGCCATGTCGTTTTAGCATTTTTTTCTGTTGCTTACTATTTAATAGTTTTTTGGTCCCCCTTGGGGAAGAAAAAGAAGAATGTAGAGAAAATGGGTAAAGATTGGTCGAATTTTGTCAAATAATAACTTTGTTATTGAACATACATTGTGAAAACTGTCGAAGAGAACACTATATACATAAAAGTAACCAGCAGATCAAGAAAAAAGAACAATAACTCTAGAATTCACTTCCTGTTATTTGCACTAATTAATTTTGATGCTATTTCTGGCATTTCAGCAATTTTGTGTTTTCATTGTTTGGTATAATTTTTTGAGTTAAGTTATCCACTGATCTTTGGTAATTTGTTTGGTAGAAGAAAGGCACCAAATTTGAGACACTTTTTTTAAAAAACAAATATAAATCAGAATATTCAAAAGTACTTAAAACATTTATTTCGAAAACTTAAATTTAATGTTTCTAGAACACAACAAAAAAAATTTAGCGAATAAAACATATATTTTTGCAAAAAAATACATTTAATTTTTTTTGCGACATTTAATATTAAAAATAAAAGGTGCCCTAATTTGGGATAGCCAGGTATCTGAACTTAAGACAGGTACCTTAATTTGGGATACCATTTAAAAAGCCCTTTCCTTCGCAGAAAAGGCAAACAATAATTCCGGACTTCATTTCTCCACAGTCTTCATGTGCCCACCTACCACATTGGTAACACTTCACCCATAGTTCGCCATATCTATCGTAGGAAAATTTGTCAGTGCAAAATAAACATTCCGCGTCGTTTTCTCCACTTTCGTTGGACGATGAATAAGCTAATGGAAAGTCTTCACTGCTATCTGAGCTTGAACTCGAAGAAACTTTCCGCTTCCTTCTTGATATTTTGCCTTTTGATGTTGAAGGTTGACCTACGTCTTCATAGACTATTTCTTCTTCGGCCGTTGTTGTTTTTTTTTTTATCTAACACCTTTTGTTCAACTGTGTTTTTCTGGAGCAAAAACACAATCTAAGTTTAGCTGGGGTACTAGTTTTTTTGCTTTTTTCTTCTTCAAACTTTGCTCTAATTCTTCTTTGTAGGGTGTTAGAGTAATTATTGAAGCCTTTCCTAATCTGGCATGTGGTTTTTTAGTGGTATTTAGCTTTATACGCTTTACAAAAAATACTGGCATCGGCACAAGACGACAGAAAACTCGACTGATTTTCTCTAAGCAGTTTTCTATTTCTTGTGCATAGTAAGTTTTCAGCGGTGCCATAAAAGCAACATTCAACAGAATTTTTTGAAGTGTTGAAGCCATCTAGTGAAAATATCGGCCTGTACCCAATCTGACACATGGTATTCTGCGACTGCTCCAGTGGGAACTCCTAGCATTGTTGAAGAGCATGAAAACTATGTTTTCATATTTTTTCTAGGGAAGATTAATAATGGTGGTACGAAAACTTCTGCAGCATTGATACATGTAATAGCAGTAATCAGCTTCTCTTTTCTGCTGAAGTCAGTGACGAAATCTGCTTTTTCCCTCTCATGGAAATTACTTTGCTATGTTTGTGCTGAGCCCGTGTGTAAGGCCCGTTTCGTCTACATTGAATATACGTTGTGCAGGGTTAGTAAGCTTAAGATATTCTGGTTCATACAGGTCAAAGAACTTTGATACATTTTCAGGAGTAAAAGGTTGTAAGCGATTATGCGTCGGATGCCTTTTCAGAAAGAGCCTCAACCATTTGTTTCCGACTGATTTTTTAACTCCGCTAAATGGATGCGGTATTGAGTTTCGTATTGCAAGTTGAAATCACAGTCGTTTTATATTACGAGCTCTTAGCCCGAAATAACGTTGCTCCATAGTTAGGGCATACTCAACCATTTTCTAATTTCAAAAGAAGAATAGTTCGGCGGCCAATTGATATCCCGACGAGTTCTTCTGGAGTCTTGTCTGATTTCACATAAGGTACCTTTTGGTACTTCAAAAACTTTTCAGGCCGTCAAATAGCTCATCTCTCCATTCCTTACTATATTTACCCGTATCATATAATTTGCGTTCCATTTTTTATTTTTTGGCAGCATCTACAAACAAAAAACACATAAAAATAAAAATTTTACACGGGATCTTAATTTGAGACACTCTCAAAGTTGGAACCTACAGGTATCCCAAATTAGGATTTTTCCGTTAAAAAAAAAGGCATTTTTGTTGGTTGTGTATGCCACACAATTACCGTTTAATTTTCTTAAAATGTATTAACTAATATTAAACTAACAAAAACAAAATAATTGGAGTAAATGTAATCATCTTACCTTGATGTATTGTAAGTTTTTATAAAAACAATTTGTGTAATGAGTAAATCAAATTAACGTCGACAAAACAACAAAAGTCACTTCTAAGCGTCAACTAAAACCAGATCTACCACTATTGCACAGAAATATTGATCAGTTTTCAATATTTTCATTAGATATCACCCTATCTATCGTACACAAATATAAGACAGTGTCTGAAATTAGGCGCTTGTCTTAGTAGAATGTATTTGGCACACCTTCAAAACAACAATCAGAACTATACAAACAGAACAACTACAAGGCAACACAAGAAAACCAAAGAATACATGGATGACAGAAGAAATGCTAGAACTGATGGAGGTAAAAAGATCTTACAAAAACCGCAATGAAGTAAAATATAAAGAAACCCAGAAAACCATCCGAAAGAAAACCAGGAAAGCCAAAGAAGAATGGATGAACAGCAGCCGTGAGGAACTGAGGAAATTCCTTGAGCAACTTCCTATGACTGATAATGGAAGAGAAAGTGGAAGGAAGAAGTCCAGGAAGAAAAAAATGCTCCTGGCTGAAAAATGTAAGAGACTGGACAGACATGGACACACATTTGATACTAAGAATAGCTCAAGATAGAGAGCAATTTGCTGTAGTTGTAGCCAACCTTCAGTAAGCAGAGGGCACCTTAAGAAGACGAAAAGTTGTACTCCATTTGAATGCGAAATATTTAAGTTTTTTCTTTTCCTCTTTTTTACTAGCACAAGTGTCTCATTACAAATTCTCATTTACTTGTCATCTTGATATTTAATATTTTTTAAAGCAGAATTCATAACAAGTGTTTACACATGACAAAATATTTATTATTGATTTAACCTTCGATTTGTAATTACGTTTTTTTAACCACTCTGGTTAAAAATTCCTCAAAACATAAGTAAGGCTATGGTATTATAAATAAACAATTTTTCCACATTTAATTGAACATGTTTGTCACATTTTTTTAAATGAAAATAAAGCTTATTTTAGTAGAGGAAGGAATGTGTTTTATGGTATCACTATATTAAAAACCCAAACACTTTGCCATTGTATTGGTTTTCCTATCATTTACTATACAGCTTATCCCTAACATCATCAAGTTTTTCTATTTGTTTCAATAAATACTCATTAGCAATCTTCTTTCCATAGGTCTTGTTACCTGCTCTATTTTTTGTTTGGTAAAAGTATTTATGAATATTTTTATGCCCAAAAAACTTAGGTGGTTTTCAATTTAAATCGAAACGCAACCGTCATTTGTTTTCAGTAGGCAAGGTGTCTTTACTTTAACATAACGACACCTCCACAAATTAAACATTCACATGCATACTAAAATGCAATCTAAAAGGATTTTACACCAGTTTAGAAGAATGCAAATTCCTAACAGTTAAAATAAATTCATTAATTTGTTTAAACGAGATAAAATCTATAAGTTAAAAAAATGTAACTGCTACTTATCTAGATAATAATTAGAATATCAGAATCATGATAGAACTTGGTCTACAAAGAGTCAAAGATATCTACAAAGAAAAGATCTTTTATTTGTAGTTAGAGCTTATAAAAGTCTTTAATTTATAAATATATATTTACAAATATACACTTCTTTAATTCATTTAATCGAAAATAGCATACAGTAACAGATAATCTACTAACAACTTAAAAACTTCAAAACCTATTGTTCGAATTCACTACACTTCTAATCTGAAACTATAGTCTGTAAATGTATCCCGTGTATTTTACTAATTTCTTCTTTCAAAGCATCGTATACAATCTTATGCTGCTTAGGTATCGATAATCCTTTGAAATCGGATGTTTCTATGGAAACATTGAACATAGCACCGCAACCCCCTGAAGTATCTTCGACATGAATTGATGAGGCACTTGGAAATCGACCTCTAAGTTTTTCTAATATTTTCTGTTCATTTACAGGCTCTTGGGCTGTACTAAAACTGGAGTTTACCTGCAAAATCAAAATCGGTTTTTGTACTAATATTCGATAGCGAAAGTGTATTTTATTACCTGAGGGCAATTAATGCGCTGGATTGGCAAAATTTGTCGGTATCTAGTAAGAGACTGAATGAGTTTTAACATTTTTTAAATAAATGTAATATTTTTAATATAAATAAAAATTCAAAATTTAAATGTAACCTGCAATTGAGTAAGAGATCATTCTTCTTTTTCAAGTTGTGTTTGGTCTCTTTCAACAGTGACTACAGCTATAATAATTGAACCAACTCATTTTTTTACCTTCTTTGGATATTTTTCACTGAATTTTGATACTGTTATTTTAAATTTAGTCCATTTATTAGAATTTAGGTAAACAGTAACTTTAATTGAACAGTTTTCACATTTGGTCTTAATGAAGATAGCCTCAAATGAGTTTGACAGAACGAAATATTGGTTTTTAACCAAGGTTAGTACATAGACAGGTTGTCTGGTAACTTTATACCAATCAGCGTCGAGAATCCAATGACGGGATTGACATCACAGAATGCTACATTCAATGACGTATAATATGTGTATAGACTACGCAGTCACAGAATAATAAACAATCAGAAGGGCCACTCTCAGATGCCGCCTTTGAAGTTTTTCAGCACGCGCGCCATGTTTTAGGAGGACACAGACATATGATTTGTGTGGTTATGTAATTGTTTATATTTATGTTTAATTATAATATATTTATGTTATTATATTTAACAATGTTAATATAATTGTATAGTATGTCTATGATTGCCGTAAGTCAAATAAACCTAGTTAATTTTTCCATGCACACCACATAAACAACACTAAAGGCGAAGTCCCATGCATCCGATTTCCGAGATCCGACATACGAAAATCGTATGGTTTCCTAGTTGCTATTTGGAAGCTAGTCACATGGATGCGATTGTCGGATACGAAAATCCGTATAAACTGTTAACTGTCAATTTTTTGTTTATTGTTTGGATGTTTGGTGGTTTGGCTGGTAATTGCTGTTTTACCACTTTTGCGTAGTAAAACAGCAGAAGGGATTATTTCCGCATGGTATATAATCCCTTCTCCTGCTTTCAATTACTCAGTTTATTATGGATAACGTAGAAGAAACTATGTAACTTATTAAATGTGTAATTACGTATTCTAAGGTAATTGCAAATATTTATCAACATCATTTAGCTTGATTTCCTGCAAGAGTGCAATAGATTATTAAAAGCCCCTTGTGAGTTTTTTTACTGAAATATTTAACTAACCCAATATTTTCTTTGTCGAATTTTACGTCTAATAAATTAAATGTACAGATGTTAAACTATTGGAATACAATTAGGTTACAAAACATCC